GAAAGCTTCACCTTATTGCCGATCTGCTGCAAGTGCAGCATCTGCGGAAGAGGGTCACCCTGTTCTCAGCTGTCCTATGCTTCCATTTCTTCTCTTGCATAGGATCTGACAATTTTACAGTCACCGTGTGATCTGTGGCTTTCAGCTTATCCACAGCAAGACTAAACAACAACATAATTTCCCACCAGATCAGAAAAAGAATCCCTCCTATTCTGTGGACACACAGTTGTTATAATTCAGTTGTTATAATTACTGCAGGGGAAGAAGAAGGACACATGGCCAGGGAAAGGAGTGGAATCGCCTGGTTTAGTCATATGCCATAATTACCAATTTGTAGTAGTTGTCAAGCCATGTTTTTTCGCACCAGTAATCCTCTGTAAAGATAAATACCAATAAAGATAAAAGCTATAAAAAATAAAAATAATGAGGATTGTGTAGGACCTATACTCAATGAAACAGATGAATACATTAAAAAGTACAAGGTTATGTAATTATTACAAGTTCTTTCCCATTAAAACCATCCGTTTCCAGAGCCTGTGTGAGCAGGTTGATTACCATGTCTATCAAATACAAGGGTTCAGACTCAGCTCAGTGATAATAAATACCTTTAAAATTTAAATATAACCATAATTTAGTAATTTTTTTTTTTTAACCTGTGTGCTGAAGGCTTCTCAGGTAAGCACAAGAGGTATAGGAACACCTAGCTGATTTTGTTGTTAGGAATACACAAAAGTGACTCTGACTTCATAACCAGTGAGGAAGATACTGATAAGGAATTTTCAAAATTAAGTAGCTGTTCAGTCTTGCTAGTCTAGAAGCAAGATAAAATTGCTGGAGAAGAGGCTTCTCAGGTAACTTACTCAGCTGTGTAATAAGCTATCACAGCTCCCGAGGGACAAGAAGCAAATCCTCCATGTGCGCACATCAGACTGCGTAGGGCCACCACCAGACCCTCCACGCTACTTACAGACCTCACAGAATTAAATTCCGCAGGCCTGTGCACCAAGATGACGCTGGTCCAGCCTGTTGGTTTGTGTTTGTTTATTTAATGTCCCTCGGGAAAGACCAGACTTCGTATGGGGTAGGACTACCATGAAAGGAAGCTGTGTTATGAAAACACAATGGATGAGCAGTTACTTGACTATTTCAGCTAAATATTTTCAGACCGTTCTCTTGTTAAGTCATAGTTGTTTATTACAAGTCAAGCATTTTTCATTGTTTAAGTGCTCTGTGACAAATCTGAAAGCAGCTTAAAAGTTTATGCAATATTGATGTATCGTTTACATGTTTCCAGTAGTTTGCTACAAATAATTCTGACTCAAATGGAGTGTCGCTTCTGGAAACCCTTCTGTGTCAATTTAGTATGGTAACACAGGAAGTTTTTCCCTGCATAAAAAGAGAAATTAAATCCTTTGCGCCAAATGCTTTTAGACTCTAGACATTGTTCAGCCTTGGCGATGCCAACCAAAACTGAGAACTATTTACGGAAGAGTGAATTAACCTGCATAACAACTATGCTGCTGTTTTACTAGACAGAGTAACAAGAATTTATAGCAACCTAAGACATGAATTATGTATTACTTATGGTTTTGTGTAGTGGTGATTTTGGAGATAAAGGTTTTCTACTATTAAGTGCAAAATAACATACCAGTAGTGGTTTTTTCATGGGAAGAAACGCCTTAGCTATGAATTCTCACCTGAAAAGGCAGTTTTAAATTTGAATTAACATTAATAGAATTAACAATATTTGGTTTTAATTTCAAAGTAACTTCTGGTTGAGGAAAGAAATTGGCAACAAATAAGTAAGGAGTAGCATTAATCCATCCCCAAAAACCTCATCTCACAAAACTATCCTAAACCCCAGTAACTTTAGCACCGTACAGCAAGATTTTAATTTATCTAAAAACTCTTCAAGTTGTTACTTTCACCAATCTAAAACTGAGTACATAACTTCAGGGGCAATTCTAATTTAATTTTCCAATTCTACCCTTGACAAGTGAGGCTACAAAACATTACACGATTAACACCTTGAAAACTGCCTGAGTGCGTAAGTTCAATAGGATAAAACGTTCAAGTACTCCATTTGTCAAAGAACAATCACGATCTTGCATCTCTGATTTTCCTCCCACGCTACGTGGGAGGAAAAAATCCTGTATTCTGTAAACATAAAACAGTAACATGTCAATAACAGAAATATTGGGGTTTTTTCCTTTTTTTTTTTATCCCAGTGACCTTTCTCCCATAGAAGAGAGACTGCACCACAACCTACATTTTAGGTGTAACATACTCAAAGCTTTATTTCATGACACATTTGTTAAAACTTGAACAGATAAAACCTCACCGTTCCTTTCTCTGTGCTGCCCTAGTGATGACACTCAAACAAGCTTCACAGGTAACATCATAATCACAAAATCTACTACATGCTCGTTTCTAGCTCTTCCAATCCTTGTGCAACGCATCACGTTCACAGCATGTGTATCTTCCCATAAAATTGCCACCTAATAAACTACATTTAAAAAGAAAACCAACTCCAATCCAGTTTATTATTTGTCAAAAAACCCCTTCAAAGTTGAACTTTCTCCACAGGAAAAACGACCTAATGCCTTTTTTTGCTAATTGCAAAGCTTTGGTCTGTCTTTAAAAATTAGCATACTAGTTTAATTTCCAAATCTACTCCATCTTAAAATAATGAGTTCCTCCTATTTTTCTCTTATTCAGATGTTGAAGTTAAGTTTACACCACAGCCTCCACCCTTAGTTTTCAGCTAGGAAAACTGCTATTTCTCATTAGTGCCTACACATTGTGCTTTTGTTGGCTCTGCAGTAGCTGTTACTCTCTTACATTATACCACAACGTTTGAGACTTAACAAAATAAAGCAAACTAGGGACACAAAACAGGGACCGGGAAGTTAACTTTCCTGCCCTCTTAATTTCCTTGTCCACGTTATCTATGACATAAGCCAACAGATTTAGGCAGGTGTTGGGAAACCCCTTTCAATGGGAAGAGTGAAAACAAGAAAAGGGTGAAAAAAACCCAAATAGCCACTGCTGCAACTTAACGCCTGCGAAATATGACATACAGCAATGAAACATGGACAGAAGCAACCAGTTTTCCACACTTACTACCGTTAATTAAGGAATGCCTTCTAGACATCGTGTTCAACACAGCTGTTGAACGTAATGTCACGGTGAATCTTGATGGTGAATCCTCTTTTCTTCAACCTCGAAACCAAAAAGGAATTTCATATCTTGTGGAAAGGAGTTCTGATCATCCCAGACGTCCCTGCTTCACACTGGAGACCATCAGAGACTTCTTCAGCAGCTGATACATACTCAGGTGACGAGAAGCCATAACCCAGCCGGACTTTTCTCATCGCTTACAATTAGTAAAGAATCTGGAAGTTTTTATGGCTGTATCAGTGGTTCAGTTTAAAATTTGAGCTATCAGATACAGGACTAGCTTACTAAGTAAAAAGGAGTATTATGGGATGCCTGAAGCCTTCAAAATATCCTCTTCGAGGCTGGTCAGGAATACCATCATTTCTCAGTACTCTATTGTTTCTGAGAATCCCACACACTCATAATTCAGAGGAACACAAAGACATCCAAACCCTTCAAATCTACAAAACTCTTCAGAAGCATGAAAAACCCCCACTTTGATTTTATGCATGCAGTTTCACAACCTATCACCCAAATGCTAATTGTATTAGCAATTTGCTCACCACAGAGCCATGAAAATTATGATTCTACATACCAATACTTGCTCTGAGAAGTCGTAAATCAACAGAAACACAGGTTTAAAAATTTTCAATTTTGAAATTTATTTAGAACTCAGGGGTTAAGCGTGGTAAGTTTCCAATTGTCTGATAATAGCATACCCATGTCACTCTCACGGAAATTGCACCTAAATCCCTCTGCCACCCTCCCCCTTAGAAATCTGCAGGTTAGTTTTAACAGCCAGTGATTTTGCAAATAGTGCGCTCTAGGACACTACTGCATTTCCTGAGTGTTCAAAGCTACTGTATGATACATTAAGCTGAAGGAAAAAAACCAAAATTATTATTCAGAACTAAACCAGCTTTTTTACTGCTGAAGTACGGAATCATAAAATGCAACTTATTGTAACAGATTGCTTTGGAATGCTTAAAAAGGGCAGGGAGGGGGAAGGAAAAAGCATCTTTTTAAAAAAATGACATCCTTTTAACTTCAATTTTAAACTAAATAATTTTTTACCTTCAAGCCATTAACCTCAAGACTACTAAAAATGGCCAAAGAGCTTAAGACTCGCTCAGACTGAAATGTAGTTGGGACTAAAATATTCATGTTGGTATTCCTTGACCTTTTAGGGTATTCCTAGCGGCTCTACCAAAAGCAGCATAACAGGGTATCTCTGGTTTGTTTTTATCTTTTTAGTGCTCTTGAAAATGAGTCACTAACAGCACTGACCAGAGTGCTTAAACATAGGATTTCAGACAATCACCTTGCAATGCACTTCAGCTTTATCGTGCAAAACCAATCTAGTCATAGACATCCCCACATTAAACACAATAAATTGTGCCAAAGTACATGATGTGAATAAATGTCAGCTAATCTATCAACACATTGACAAATGTCAGCTTGTCTATCAAGCGTTGTTCGAGCCCAGAGTAAAATTTCACTTGCCAGAACTGAACTCCTCCACGGGCGGACTGCATAGTATATGTAAGTTACTCGTTTTTGTCCAGAAAAATCTCTTCAAAGTTGTATTTACATTGGCAAACAGGTTTAGAGGAGAGTCTCAGCCCTCTAAATTCACCATGAGTTAATACATCAATAAAGAGGTCCCACCATCGGTCGGTGGGATTTTTCCATGAAGACCACAACCACTTCTTGATCAAAACAAAGCTGAAGCAGTGGCAGCTGATGGAAATGCTAACTACATTGTTCTTGCATCATTTTTTTTATGATGCATTAGGTTTATTCTCACATTTACAGATGATTTTGACAGAAAGGGTCTTCAGGCTGCAGCTGAACAAAACCCAACTTCTTGTCTGAAGTTTAATTTTTTTTTTTTTTTCTTTACAGAAACAAAGAACTGATAGTATAGGCAACTACCAGCGGGAACTCCCAAGAGATGATGTGTTCCACTCGAGTTTTATGTCAGTGGCTTGCCAATCCTTTTCCCCTAAAATATTTGTAAAAACATTGGAAATACCTATGAAATTTATAAAACAGCTCCTTAAACATCTGCTTAATGCCCTTTCCTTCAAATATAAAAGACCTCCACATTTCAGGGTCTTTTTCCTTGGATACAAGGGAGAGGTTGAGGAAGAGGTAAAAGATAGGATAATCGCTATCTTTTCAGTTGCTATGTTACAAAATTTAAATGGCTACTACTCTAAAGATTAAATACAGACTTTACATAACCAATCACAACAATGGAAAAAAACCCATAACTGAAATAATATAAAATCCATATCAGGTCAAGTGATGGTACATTAAGAATAACCTTATATGTTATACAGAAGATAATATACACAGATTGTAACAGTTATTTTTCCCCTTAAAAGCCACTGTCAGTAGGATCACAGTCTTACTGTGCAGACAAGTGACTTGAGTATTTCTAATTACTAATGGGGAAAATTTAGGTTATAAAAGAAAATGTATCAAGTACACCTTTACGCATGTCTATACTATGATTTAAATTAAAAGCCTTAAGCATTCTCCTACCTACTCCACTTTCAACCTAAATGGAGTATCGCCATCGGTATACAAACCTTAGGGAGGGCGCTTCTAATCTAGTTAGTATAACTATGCTAAAGGTCAGCTATCTTACAAAGGAGATTAAGTTCAGATGTTTAGAAACTTTAACAATAAGAGAAAGTTAGAAACCCTAAACAGCTACTCATATTTAACTGTAGTTACCTTTTAGAGAGCATTAGACTAAGCTCCGGTATTTTCTACGGTCATTGTATTAAAAGAAAGTTCTACCACACCTAAAGGATAAGGCATAGCCATCTACTAATTGGCATATTTGTTTATTTGTCTCAGTTTGTGAAAAGGTCCTTATTTGTGTAAGCAGCAAAACAAACTTCAACTGAATGATTGCTATATGCAAAAGGACTGAAGGCAATTGCCTCTGCAGTGAACTTTACAGTTCTCAACAGCACACACGCAACATGCTATCTGAAAAAAGTTACTAACTGAACTACATGTATTAAATACTGAAAAAAGTTTTACATTTTTTATTATAATTTATTTTATTTAACAATCTAAGAAGTTTGCAGCCATCAGAAGTTCCAGTGCAATTTCAGGTGCAATTGGGAATTCAGGAATCTCCGTAGAGCTGTTAGTATAGCGGACCTTGTAGGTGAAATACATGCATACTTTGGATAGGACATGGGATGGGATCTCTCTAAAATTCACCTCGTTTGTTTCATTTTCTGCAAACTGTCCTGTAGGGAGAAAAAAAAAAACAAAACACAACACAAAAACAAAAACAAAACACCAAACCAAAAGTCAGAATCTCAATTCACTGCAAAATTAAATGCTTTACCATACTAATACCACACATTCTAAATAGACTTGCGTAAGACCCACATTCCTGGGTATTAGATTCTTCAGTGTAAAGCAGGATGTGCCACATTCACAACCCTCAGGAATATTAAGATCCCCTGCATAGTTATTTTGTAGGCTTAATTCTGATGCTTGCTCGATAGGTGCTGTAAAACTGTAGTGTGCTCAGCTGTAATGGTCACAGTAACAACATTAAAAAAAAAAAAAGGTATAAATCCAAATTTCTAGCCGTATTATCCAAGAAAAAATGGTTAATACGTGCTCCATATCTGCATATGCAGATCAGTAGTCCCTTCTGTGTCCCCACTAGCTTTGAATGTGTCAGTTTCAGGCAGATTTGACAAAGGGTTGAGACCTCAAAGATGCATTAACCTGATAAGCTGTAAAAAACAGGCAGGCAGGAAGGACCAGGAAATGCTAGTTTTAACTGGAGGAAAGGTTACATACAGTACAAGTTTATCCCTATTAGATATTGAAGGATTTATCCAAAGCTCAAATCTCAAAACACAAGTACATTTGAAATTAGCTTTCTATAGTGCCTGTAAGCATGAAACTTGGACGTTATGAAGTCATCCTGTGGTTAGTCCCGCAGCCTTTCTACTGTTATCTTTGTCCCTCTCTTCCTCATCTCTCTGGACTTCCAGCTCATGAAGCTGAAAGACAATACAAAACCACTAACATGTACTCCATATTTATGGGAGACCTAGTGATGTTTGCTTCCCACTATTTCTATAGGAATCCCGTTCTAACTACAAAGCAGAGTTATTTACTAATGCCGACACACATTTGTGTAGAAATAGCTGCATGCACTGAAGCCAATCCAGCTGGAATTCTAGTACAGGAACAGTAGGAAGCAACAGAAGAAATGTTAGCATATTAGCAATGTCACGGTACTGAAATAATTTCCCTCGTGTAAGTGTTTTCTATGACCTACTGAACTGGACAGCAAGAGTACTTTTCCTTGTGAACCCATTTATCTTGCTAGTTTTTGTACAAAATATTTTTGAATGCTGACTCCTTTACAGAGTCAGTTTGCTAGCCCTCTAAGCGGGCTACTTTGCCTTTTCTTCCTCCACATTGTTTGTGCAACAAATTCAGAGCAGGTCTTATAACAGCTCTTCCTCTTTACACAGCTGGGAGGCTGACACAGAGTGGATCAGACACAACAGACCCACTACATATTTTCAAACACAACCACTACAATGACATTTAGCAGAACATTAAACTGAGAATTTTAATTGCTCAATTTGCCCAACTTTACTAAGTAATCTAAAAATATATTAAGCAAATAGATCTCTCCAGTAATCTCCCTCATCAGAATATAAAAAAGAGAATGTAAGAATGACCGTATTCAGACCAGAGCTCCACATAGCCTACTGCCCACCACTCAAGTGGCCAAAAGTAAAACACTACAGAAGAGGGCAAGCACATGCCTTAAGTTCTCCATGTTCTCTCCCCCACCCTTTCAGTCTTCAAGAATTAGTTCAGACACTTCTTAAACCACAGGTAGTATCATGCATTCCGTTACACGAGAACCTTCCCTTCTGTAACTTAAGCTAACTTGTGTCATTAAGCTCAGGAACTCCTTGCTATAGGACCTTGTGAACATGTTGTGGCCTAAACCCCAGGAGGCAGCTAAGCACCTTACAGCCACTTGCTCATTTCCCCCTGCAGTGAACAAGGGAAGAGGAAAGGAAGAGTAAAAGCAAGAAAACTCATGGGTTGAGATTAAAACAACGTTTAACAAGTGGAAGACAAGTGGAAGACATGACAGGAAACAAACCAGCTGTTGGAAAGGTACTCACTCACCACCTTCTATGGGTAGACTGATGCCCAGCCAGTTCCCAAGCAAAAGATGGCTAATCTTCCTAACCCCCTCCTCTCCCTTTTCAGTTATGAGCTTGATGTTACATGGCATGTGGTATCTCTTTAGTTATTTTGGGTCACCTGCCTGGTTGCATTCCCTCCCAACTTCTTGCACACCCCTCTGTCTATTCATTGGGTGGGGGGAAGAGTGAGAAACAGAGAAGGCCTGGACACTGTGCAAACACTGTTCAGCAATACCTAAACCACTGATGAGTTATCGGCATTATTTTGGTCACAAATCTAAGACACAGAACCATATGATCTGCCGTGCAGAAAATTAACTCCACACCATCCCAACCCAATACAGAATACTAAAAGCTCCACCATGGAGGTGGCAGTAAAGAACTACCAACTCCTGTTTGTTGTCAACTTGACAGCTACACATTTCACATAATACCCTCAAGTTCTTGTACCATGGGGAATGAGTAGTAGTGACACCGTAAGATCGCTAGCTGCCCAAAAGCCAATAGAGTCCAATTACATGTCCCATAGCACAATACTCCACAGAGGTGGACTGTTCCACCAGAAACAGTAATTAGGCAGGATCTGGAAAAGCTGTCATTTATTTCAACTTTCACACACTGCATGATATAAATTCAAACTGTTCAAAAGTGAAAACAAAGGATGTGAAGGTACTAAGGCTTTTGTACCTACCTGGTCCACTCAACATAGCTTTTATTGTTCCTGATGTTAATGCATGCTCTCTTTTTACAATGAACTCATGGCCATCGGAGGATATTAACTTCACATACATAGCATCTGGGCCCTCACACCCACCATATGTTTTCTCTTCTCCATCTATAATGGAAAACAGATGAACAGTTTCAGAACACAATGACTGATTCACATCACTAAGAATGCAAGCTGCAGTCTTTTCTATGATTATGTTTGCAGACTGAAGAACCCAATACAACCACAAATAAGACAGAAACATTTTGCATATTTGAAGATGACTTCTCTGAAGCGCTCAGCAAATTGTTTTCAAGTAAGTTCTTGCAATAGTAGGAATTTTTTTATCAAGATCTCTCCTCTCTCATTTCTCCATCACCAAATTCTGACACGATTTCTAAAATCTACGTAGGATGAAATTTTCCTTTAGACATTCTCAAGTGAATTGAACATGCTACTGTTCCTTCTATAAGGCTATTGCCATGTTTATCATACTAGTACTTACTTATTTAGTATTTAAAAATACAGACTGCAAAGAAAAAAGAACTTTTTGAAGCACAGGTAAGAGTAAAAGCAGTCAGTATTACTGTATTGAAGAAATGACATGAAATACAAGATTCATCCTCCCCCACTGCCCAGACAGACCCAGAACCACACAGTGTTAGTGCACACCCGTATTGTGAACTTCGGTGGAAAATGGGGAAAGTGCAAAAGCACTAAACTCAAGGATATTTGGAAATTCTCCCCTCAGCAGCTATGACTGTGCTTTTTCTGTTTCCCTTCTCCCGTCTCCCCTCTTCATATACCCACTCTCTACTTTGTTTCTCCAGAAGCACTTATCCCCCTTCCCTTTTTGTTCATTCATTTATTCTTTCCTAACAGCACTGTCTTTAAAAATTGAAAAAACAACACTACTGTTACCACCCCCGCACAGTTCACTCTGTGCAGTCTTAACAGTTTCCCCATCTTGCACCCGTCTTGTCTATTTAGGCAGCACGCTCTCTGGGGTAGGAACCACTGACTACTTTGTGCCTGTATAGTGCTCAGCACTATTGGACACCATCGCACTAAGGACACTGTCTCTGTATTTGGTCTTTATATGCTCCTGTAGACTCCAAGTAATAAAGACTGCAGTAATATTAAAATATTTTTGAAAAAATGAGGGTACCCCCCCAATATACAAATCCCATCAAATTCAAACTGGAAAGTTAACACCTTCTTTCAAATACTTTATTTTCTAAGGGACTAACATAGCAAGTATTGCTAGAATTCCATTAAAGTATACTTGAATTTGACACTGAACAGAAAATTTGATTTTCAAAACAGTATTAATCTTGACAGAAAGTTAAAAATTAAAGTTCCGGAAGTTCTTCCGGCTTGGAAAAGTGTAACAGAAGAGATCTGTACACTTCTAGAAAAGTATTACACACTGCAAGTATTTCGTGATTGTATGCAGAAGTATGGAAGATAAAAGAAATATAGATTACAAATGACATTTGATTGTTGGTGTTGTTTCTACTTCTGACAAAACAAAGAACAGAAATTATACTAATTATATTAGAATAAGTACCTTGCATTGTATCCAATGTTACAGCAAATACAACATTCCCCCAATCAATTAAGTTGCTTTGTGAATTGGAAGTTAAAAGTGAATTGCCACATAGTTATTACCAATTTTAATAAAGCACCCCCAGTGCCAGACATGCCAAAATACATTCAGAAAAAGTATAGATCATACCAGAATCTGTCTAATGTTTCATTAACCAGCCATTTGTAGAGGCAGATATGACAGTGTCATACATTTAGTCAGATCACACACACAATGTAATTTATCAGAAAACACTCCTTATTATGTTCTCTTAGCCACAATTCAACAGGCTGACCTTAGCTAACAAATAAACAAAAAAATATTTAAAACAGTACATAGTTAAAATTTTCTTGCCCACTATCTAAAAGCTTAGTGCTATAAAAGCCTAACGGCATCCTATTTTAGCATGTACCTTTTCAGCACTATGCATATTAAGCAAGTGAAATTTATTGTCAGATAGATGCACACTGAACAAGTCTGTTGACAAATGAAGAGTCACTTGAGAAAATCCTCCTAAAAACATTTGTAGGAAGTTTCATAAACTTTTGAGGCTATAAGAAAAACAGTGACAAGATCATCATTTAGTCTTACAAGCCACCTCCTCTACCGATCTAAGAGAGAAAATGCTTCACATTATAGGAAACAAAAAAAACCACCTCTAAGATGATGAACTTACCCATTCTCTTCTTATAAAAAAAAATTGTTTCTTTTCAACAGCAGCTTTTGCAATAGGAGCGTCTGAAAAAACACAAGTGGCAATATTTTCAGTCAATAGTACAATTTCTCAAGTCAGCTTCAGTTATTAGCCTTTATGTTATCATAAACACACTTTAGAAGAGTATGATGATACACAACACGCAATGTTGATGGGCGTCACGTTTTGAAAACATTACGTTTTGAAACTTATCTTTGCTGTCCAGAGATCCCTACCATATTCAAGAGTCTCTAAATTTTAGCTTACTTTGTAAAGGAGTTGTTCCCCTAAGCTTTTTAAAGAACCTTGACTATAAGGCCAGAGTTATTTCAAGAGCCTTACGACTTTTATCACTACGGACACCATCCATGCAATGGTACTGGGGAGGTAAAGAAAACAAGATTTTCCACACTGCAAAGGCACTTAAGAGACTGAACAACTTGTCTACAGAAAAAAAAAAAAAAAAAAAAAAAAAAAGTCAGAGAACAGTTTGCTGTGCTGTAAATAGCGGAGTGGTAGTCCTGCCATTCAGAGGGACGTTGACAAGCTGGAGAAAGGGACCAACAGAAAACCTATGAAATTCATCAAAGGGAAATGCAAACCCCTGCACCTTGGAAATAATTACTGCAGGCAGTGGTACCAGCTGGAGGCCGACCAGCTGGAAAGCAGCTTTGCAGAAAGAGACCTGTGGGTGCTGGTGGACACCAAGCTGAACATGAGCGAGCAACGTGCCCTTGCAGCACAGGCAGCCAACAGCACCTTGGGCTATATTAGGAGGAGTGTTGCCAGCAGGTTGAGGCAGGTGATCCTGCCCCTCCACTCGGTACTAGTGAGACACATCTGGAATGCTGGGTCCAGCTCTGGGCTCCCCAGTACATGCCAGACTGAACTGAATCCTGCAAAGGCCACAAAGATGACCGAGGGATTTGAGTACCTGTCATATGAGGAGAGGCTGACAGAACTGGGGTTGTTTAGGCTGGAGAGGAGAAGGCTCAGGGATCAGTCTAATCAGTGTGCACTAAATACCTGGCCTCCAGCCTGTCCTTACTAGAAGATTGACAGCTCCTGATACAGCCATCAATGTCACCTAGATAATCTACTTCAGGCATTTAATGTAGGTACTCTCATGGGAAGTTAACCAGGAGCTTCCACAGCTTATAAATTGACATCCAGCTTGCTGCATATGTCTACTGTCATGCAAATGAATCCAAAGAGCTAGAGAAATGGAAGCACTTATTTGCAAAACAAATCCATTATGTTCAGATGCAACATATATTTCTTTACGCTGAACTGCATCTCTGCTGTGGAAAAGAAAAACTCGAAAGAGAAATTCTACCCACCCACCTGCTGTCCTAAAATTCCTTCCACATCGACAGCTACTCTCCAAACATTAACCCAGTACAAATCAATGAACTACTGTTGTGTGCCCGCAGGTTCAGGAAAACAGCACCAGTGATTCTGGGTGGTTTCCCAGCCGGTATACAGGGTCGGGGGCAGCAATGAGACTCTTAAGAAGTCTGACAATCCACATTGTTGCCTCAAAAAGCAAGTTTCCCAGCCAGTATACAGGGTCGGGGGCAGCAAAGAGACTCTTAAGAACTCTGACAATCCACATTGTTGCCTCGAAAAGCAAAGAGCAATAGCAGAGGCATGAACTGCAATTACTCATTGGAGAAGGGCTCCAGAGCAGGAGGTGTGAAAAAAACACAATAGAGACCACTACCTCGATCCCCTCCCTCCTATGTTTCTGGTTAGCAAAAATGTAAGCCAGTTGAGGAGGGACCTGCAAAATTTGGAGGAGGTTTTAAAGAGATCTCTGCATCTCTTCAGAAAATGCAGCTCTTTGCTATTGCTGATAGCTTCGTTTCTCAACAGCACTTTGGTGCTGATTTGTTCCAGTTCCCTTTTTTCATAACTACAAGTATGAAATAGCCCAAATGTCTCCTCAAGCTTTTACAAGGCGGCACTTTGTTATGTACACCTAATCAAACCACATGTGCAAAAACTACCCTCCACTTACATTGTTGTTGTCTTTGAAAATTATCCTGACTTTACAGAAACACCTTACAAAATATTTTCCTTCCCCACTGGTATAAGGAACATCTTTGCCTGTACTCTTGCAGGTACAAGACTTCACCTGAACTCTTTAAGAGTTCATTTGTGTACACTGTTATAGAGATACCTTAAGATCGAGTGTTACCTGCCTTCACCATCTTCAATAATTCCAGGAACTCATCCAAGGAAATTACATTTGGGTGCTGGAACAGTTGTGGCACAAAACCAATGAGATATCTTACCCTATTTCAACAGTTTTTGTAAATGGAAATCAAACATCTTATTGGAGAGTATCTGTTGCTCAAGAACTGAAGGAATACTTTACATTACTACTTCTACTTCACAGAAGATCACTCATGC